TCAACCTCGGGGTAGATCGATTGCAGACGCTGTATGGCAGCAAAAGACGATCTCATTCCGCTGGAGATGTCTCTTCGTGAAGGGCAGGCCAATGACTCCCTTCACAACCTCCGAATTCACTTGTGCACAAGGCGATTCTGTTTCGAACAACAGTTAGGCAAGCCAAATCCAGGCCCTGAAAACTCGAGCTTGGTCCCAGGTGACGTCGGTGCAGCAGGCAGTGTCCCTCCATGCCAGTATATATACGAAGACGAGGAAGCAAATGATGCAACTGGAGCCAGGCAAGACCAGGTTCAGAAATACAAACCCCTGCTTCGAGAGCAACTCAAATCAGCACTGCCGTCGGCGATCCAATGCCCGAGGTCAGCGAAACGAGTCCCTCACTTGGTTCTGGTCAGTCGAAGTCGACCTTGGGGGTCCCAATCACTCGTGGAATGAGGAATGTGAGTTCGGGCATGCTTGATGTTGTCCCGCACTCAGCTGACGGAGTCATCCAAAGTTTACCGAGTTCATTGGCTCCGGGCAAAGGCACTACGGGATCGATGGAAGGAAGAAAATGATGTTGGTCCAATTGGAGATGGATTGGACATGTAACTTTTTCTTGTGGAAAGCAACCCAATGGGGTGACAGGATGCGCGAATCATTGGTGAAACACCTTCCGGGTCATGCATGCTACTCGGGAAGGCAATCCCAAATGTATTCATTTCTGGCACAGGATGCCCAGGCAGCATTTCAAGACCTGAAGACCGGGTTTATAGATGCTCGAGATGAATGAAATTTTTTTGCCAACGATGACCCAAACATTTTAGTCCCGGGAATTGGCCGGGTCGACCCATGTCGGAGTTTGAAAATTTTTATCAATCAACCAGTGGCTCATATCTTGACCTCCGAACCAACTGCCATTGTCATTGTCATTTCCAGCTTCATAATCCTGCATTAACCATGTCTGTATTGCATACTCCCCCCAACATCCCCTTCTAATTCTCAGACTTCCGGCAATGGGTTCCGACCCCTCACACTCACTCAGGCAGATATTGCAGCTACAATGTCAATGGCTGCATCTCGCATCCGAGCGTCCATCTCTCAATATCAGATGGAGGCTGCCCACACCCAGGAGCCATCTGCTACTCGGATCACGCACTTTAAAGCCGGGCTGCAATGGGAGATAGCTGTAAGAGGCTGATGACTGTGGTGGTCAATGCTGACATTTCCAACAGACTTTTGTGACTCCCATCCTGCAGTACTCAGCTGCAAGGAATATCATTTCGGTTGTTCCGAGCCCGGTTGCTCATATTCTTCAGTTGATTCCCGAGCTCACCTGGAACATGGTTCCGGACCACATCTTTTCATCCCACCTATGCCAGTTTCAAGACGCTGCAGATCTGGGGGATCCCTCCCGCATTGTATCCACCTATGGTACTCCATGGTGGACCAGATCAACTGCCATCCCGAACGAATTATGGCCATGGGATCAGGTATTCGCTAATTGTGTCTGTCACTACCAGCATTGGCTAGTAAGACTTTTACAGAATTTCCTTGAGTGATGACTAATCCTTTCTAGTCTGGCGTTGAGGACGAACGTCTTGTTGTTCCCGAGCAGGTGGATGAAAGCTCGGTTGCAACACTGAAGGCACTGAGGTGGATGAGGGAACACCTCCTGACAGTGATTGAGGATCAACAAGCTGGCATCCGTGAAAAGATGGCAGAGATTCAGATGTACACCGCCGTCCTAACCAAATTGAACCCAAGGGGACCAGAGTAGTTCTAGTCCTTCAGTTCAGAATGTTGAAGTCTAAATTCTGTACATGATGAAATAAGTACTGAAAATTACATACTGACTTTCGAATATCTGACCTATTGCTATATGCTGAGTCCTGCATACCAAATATTGAGCATCGAGATCCAGATATCTTGAGTTCCAAATATTGAGTCCCAAACATAGAGTCCCGGATATCCAGTCCCGAAGCCCAAGATTTGAGACGAGACTTGAAACTCGAACATTGCTATGAGTTGCGAGTTTTGAGTCCCCACCGAGTCCTGACAATCAAGTCCCACAGCCTGACTATCGAGTCCCAACCATCGAGTCCCAACCATCGAGTCCCAACCATCGAGTCCCGACAATCGAGTCTTGAAACCCGAGTCCTGACAATCGACTCCCGAAGCCCGAGATTTGAGTGCCGACCATCGAGTATCGAGTCCCCAATATCGAGACCCAAAACCCAAGCAGCCCGAAGCCCGAGATTCGACACGAAACAAATCAAAACTCCAAACACCACGACACTTTCTTGAATCACCGAGTACCGAAACCCGAGTACCGGGTACCGAGTCTTGAAACCCGAATCCGCACTATCGAGTCCCAACTACCGAGTCTTGAAACCCGAGTCCCGACAATCGACTCCCAAAGCCCGAGATGTGAGTGCCGACCATCGAGTATCGAGTCCCTATTATCGAGACCCGAAACACGAAGCCCGAAGCCCGAGATTCGACACTCGAAACAAATCGAAACAAAACTCAAAACATGACACTCATCAATTTTGGGAGTTGTTTTCTTGAATCACCGAGTACCGGGTACCGTGTACCGAAACCCGAAACCCGGTACTCGGTAGTCGGTGAAATCGAATATCGAGTCCCGACTATCAAGACCTGAAACCCGAATGTTGAGTATGGAGTGCCTGACATCTAGTATCATGTATTTGAAGGTGGGTACTAACACGGGTAACTACCTTTCTACTTCTTCCAATCCAACCTTGCCCATCCACACGACGGAATCCCAGCATAAACATGAACAGCATCCCTCATATACCATGCCCAGGCAATCCGATCCCCTTCCACTGCATGAACCACGTGTCTGACAATCCTTCCCAAAAATGCAATCATGCACCCCGGATCGTACCTTAACTCTAGCTGCAGGCTTGGCATACTCATCCGAGCATTAGAATAATTCCCCACGCTAGTGAGAATATCGAAGCATTCGGAAATCGATGAGGGGTCTCGATGATTCGGGGTTTCCCGATTGCATATGATGGTGAGGCTGTTAAACACCGTTGCCCAGTACTGGAGAGTCTCTGACATCTTCGGCAGTTCCTTGCTTCATGCCTTTTCTCCGAGGCTCGCAAAGGCTTGCAACCCTGCCCAGTACTGCTCAGGATGCATCACCCTGAGTGCCGCTGTGGCAATGGCTGCTGGCCTCGCAATGGCTTTGAGGATGTTCTCGGAGGATGGTCCCTTCAATGATGCAGATACCTCCGGATCGGACTGATTCTATGGGATTGGTGAGTTTAACTACCGAGATCGCCATCTCATCAGATCCTACCTCGTGCCCCTGCTGAAACCATGCTGGAGATAAATTAACGCATCCGGGAGTTAGGACATCATTTTCCGAGCTTGGTGTGAACCACTGTTGATTAGTCCGCCAAATCCCATTGAGCTTTATGCTTTGTTCGAGCATGGGAGCTAGCAAATCCGAGGCCGCCCAAATTTCATTCTGTACGTACCATTTGATGTTCAATATCCATCCAGTCACAATATATATAACACACCTGGGTGGCATCGGTCAAGGCGTCTGGGAGGTACCATGCGATGATGGCACCGGATGCATCAAGAATTGTCGCGGGTATGTCGATCAACTTTGTGCCCTCATGGCCAGGAGGACACCTCTCAAGCAACTTTTCCTCTCTCTCTTCATTACGCCCCGTGTCCTTTGGGGAGATCAATTTGCTATATCTTGCAATATCAATTGGCATCTGAACTGTGATGAAGCAATTTGACTGATAAAACGAATTTTCCGAATCTGCAGGAAGACTCACTGGGATTTTTATATGCCTTTATGAGCCGATCAACCAATTGATCACAAGCCATCACCAGATCAGTGTCTAGGTTTGGAGAAGGTATAACTGGGTCTCCTCCTGTCTTCTCTGCATTGAATTTCTGTTCCGTATAATCACATGCCACATGAGTGACAGTCAGGGCCCAAGTGCGCAAGAGGGTTATTTCATCATCGGAAGTGGAAGAAACATCCATGATTGAATTGATCTTGTGAGATCAGAAGCTGAATCCTGAATGTCCGCACTTTGGTGTTAAAGGGGGTGGAGATTGAGAGGATCAGATAAGGGAGCCTTGGATGATCTGAGCTTTCAAAGATCTATTTCTCTTATCATCTATTGCTCAATGAAATACCACATGATTGGAAGTCTGTTGGATGTCAGATACTCGTTTGTCGAGACCCGGGCCTCGGATCTCGGTACACTTCACTCGATTTTGATACCCAGGACACCATAGTTGGAACTTGTCTCAAATCTCGGGTCTCGGGTCTCGGGCCTCGATGGTCGGGACTCGATATACGGGACTCGTTGGTCGGGACTCGATACTCGATTGTCGGGATTCAATGGTCAGGCGTCGGGTTTCATGACTCGGTAGTCGGGACTCGATGGTTGATTTTTGGGATTCGATAGTTGGGGCTCAGATATTGGTACACTTCACTCAATTTTCGGTGGTCGGAACTTGGCATTTGGCATTTGGTAGGCTTGGATGATGTTGGCTTTCAAAGATCTATTATCATCCATTGCTCAATGAGATACCAGATGATCGGAAGTGTGCTGGACATCACATATTTGTTTGTCGATACCCGGGTCTCGGAACTCGGTACACTTCGCTCGAGTTTCCACTTCACCCCTTTGCAAAGCTCCGTGCCATACCACATCATTAGATGACTTTGAATAATCACCTCCTTTGATTTGGATGATATACAACTAGCTGAGCTCCATCATGTCTACAATTATCATTCTCCTGGGCCCACCCATCTATCTTATATACCCCCACGTCGGCCTACCCATCTATGCAATATATGTCTCCCGTCGGCCCACCTGTATATAATACATCTTTTACCACTCCCTCGGCCCACCCGTCTAATATGATATATATCTGGGCCCACCTGTCTATGTGATAACAAGCACCCTTGATATACCCGGCTATTTGATACATATCTACCTTGGTACACCCATCTACATAATATCCAACTACCTCGGCCAATCCGTCTATTGAAAATTCATGTCCATTGGCCCACCCATCTACTTTACATATTCCCCACCTGGGCCCACCTGTCTCCATCGGGAATAATAACACTCCCGGCCCATCCGTCACAGTCGAGGATATATCTACCCTCGGCCCATGGTCCGCTGGCCCGTATCATACGGGATATTATGCATGTCCGTCCACTCGTATAATACGGAGATATGTTACTGCAATATGTGTGGAGAAGAAAGACCGAGAAAAAGGAACTCCGGCAAGCAAAGGACGCCAAGGAAAGCTATGAAAGAGACTTTCTTTTGGTAAGTCAAAACATGGTATGGAAGCTGCGACTTACAGTGATGTATAGGGAGAAGTGTGATGTCTCTTCAAGGACGTTTTCAACATTTCCCAAGACACCAATTTCATACTCCATCAGGCAGCTAGTTGTGAGGACGTCTACTTATATGAATACGAAGATGGCCCAGGTCCCGATTGCAAAGATCTTGCTTTTGATCTTAAATGTGGGTCCAAAGCCCCTGGAATGACAAAGTCATTGGCTTGCTCCTTGGAGAATTGCAGAGGAGAAGTGACCAAGAGAATTGGCCATTCCAAAGGTCAGAGGCATATTTCAGGGAAGTTCTTCAAGACCGCTACAAGCGCCTGCGTACAGTCTGGACAGCCGCACAACCCAAGGTTACACCAAAGGGCGGATTGGAAACTCCTGCAGAGGTGGAACAGAGGCTGATCATGAAGAAGGATGAGTTATTGAAAATGACTCATCAGACAACGCATCAGAGAAATGTGCGTTTAAGAGCTCCCTATTATTCCGGTACTGACACTTTCTCAGAAATATTTTCGCAGAGTCACGGTTCTTGACCATCTCATTAAGTACAAGGCTGACAAGAACCAGGAAGACCTTCCAGCCTGGCAGTGGCTCCAGCGACTAGTGAAGACGTTAGGAGAGAGCGGAATGAGTTCGGAGGAGAGTGATGTCAAAAATGATATTGAAACAGTTCTTCATGTCAAGAACATGACTTGGCGCTGTGCGATCGAACAGGAATTGGATATCATCGATCACCAAAGAATCATGGATGATGATATTTTTGCCCCCCAGGGTTCAAAGCCGATGAAACGGATATGCTCAGCTTGGAATCCAATGACATCCAGAACAGAAGTGGATGGATTACCTAAAGCATTATACAATGAGGAATGGCTTGCAGGTTTGACAAAGCGTCAAGTCGAAAGGTTATCAATGTCAGATGAAACATTTAGATGGATGAAAGTTGCGGTAGTGTAGTGTTGAATAACCAGACACGACAGTACCGACCGTTGTGTCAGAGGAGAGGATAAGGATGGCACCACAGTATGGGCCATTGCGCCAGGTAATCAAGGTCGAGGTATAAGCCTGTATAGATAGAGTGTAAGGACAAGACGACAGTGCACACCGTCATATCCACCAGTCGAAGTCCAGAGACACGGCAGTACAGACTGCCGCATCAACAAGTCAAAATCACAGACCGTATGTGTACTCTTATACCATTTAGGCTCAGCAGTCTGTACTGCTGAGTCTTCCCTTCGACCGAAGTCCAGCAGACATGACAGTACATACTGTCGTGTCAGAGGAGGAGATGATAAGGGATGAGGGATGAGGGATGGTGCCACAGTACAGACTGTTACGCCAGGTACTTATTAAGTTATAAGTCAAGTTAAGGCAAGAAAGACTCTGAATCAATTCGTCAGAAAGTTCAAACACCTGCAAATAAAGTCACGTGTAAAGTAAATTCAAGACTCAAAGTCTCAGCCAACCTGTACTCTCTCGTAGTGCTATACCATCTATTTATATTTAGGGCTCAGCAGTCTGTACTGCTAGGCATTGCGACTACATAACAGAACAACAAACACTAAATTAAAAGTCTAGACTCAGATAAACATTTGTAAACAACCGACCTGACTTTCTTGAAGTTTCTCAGGAGCTACTAGTAGTAGTTTGTCTGTTCTGTTCCGCAACGCTCAGTGGTATGTACCGCTAAGTTGTGACATTCATTCAGGCATTTCTACTCACATTCCACGCTATGACTTCAAGTTTTTGTTTTTCAGGAGCTATTAGTTACCTAGTTGCCTGTTCTGTTCTGCAATGCTCAGCAGTATGTACTGCTAAGTCGTGACGTTCGAGGCATTTCTACTCACATCTGACATTATGGCTACCTCCCTCCCTCCCTTCTATCAGATTTCCAAGGCTCAGTGGTGTGTACTGCTGAGTCACAAGTAACTCTGGTCCAGGTCTTTCCACTTGTGTCTCAGGCAATGCTACAAGGCTCAGTGGTGTGTAGAGCTGAGTTGTACTGCTAAATCGTAACCCTGGCCCATCTTTCTACTCATGTCCCAGACAATGCTACAATTTATCTGGAGATGCTCTGGCTGTCAGATAAATCAATTGTCAGGCACAATGACTCAGACGTCATGTGGGTTCCGTAATTATGTCTCTGGGCGCACAGGATAATAATATTAATAAAGGTGCTTGTAAATTGCTTATGCCACATTTGGTCCCTTGGCGTTCTCTTCCTCCTCCTCTGCAATGTGTTTCAATTTATCGTTCAGCCCTTTCAACGACTCCTGTAACTGCATTTGATCTAGCACGAAGTAAGGGTCCCGTTCATCGTTTGCCAGGATGTCAAGGTGCTTGTTTAGCAAGGCAGTTATGTCATTGAAGTATGTGCTTGTGTTCCCCTGTTTAACAAGTTCATACCACTCCTCTGCAAGGGGAATGAGGTCTTGGAAATAGGGGGCGAATTGTTCGCGCAGGCGAGCTTTCCCTGTTGGGTGTTGCACAAAGAAGAACTTCTTGTAAGCACATGCATGAGCATCCAAAGGCGAGCCATTCCATTTGTGTGGTAGCCAAGGTGTCACTTTCCTGACAGGACGATCCGCAGTGTCATCAAGGCGGCGCACTGCACCAGCAGGACCTTTGAACATGATACAGACCCAGGCGAAGACATAAAACAGGGATTCAAGGTCATCGAGGAAGGTGTGTTCGACTCTTCCTATTTGGATGGGTTTGAAGCTTGAGGCTGTCTTAAGTTGAGTTCCTTCCATCTGACTTTGTGTGTACTGGATTTGGGCCATCTCAGTGAGGGCATGAACCGACATAAAGGGAATCGTGCCCTGGATGTACATCAATACATTAACATTGAATAAGTGTATGCCGCTCACTGTTCCACCGGTAGGATACATATCGTCCTTCGTGATGCGCATCGCAAATTCCCAGTCTATCAACACCCCTCGACTGCCACCTCTGATGTCCTCTATCATGGCATTGTTCAGACTGCAGTCTCTGTGCAAAATGCGATATTCTTCATATGTGCACCACTGAACTGGGTACAACAGGGATTAGTCCAAGAACAGGCATGCTCCACAGTAAGCTCACTTAGCGCAATGTCACATAATGTCCTAACGAGTTCCTTTCTACTTCAAAACTTCTGTAAATGACGAGCCTTGGGTCTCAGGACGAGACGAACATGTGTACGATACATTCCAATCGTGCTGTTGTGTATTTTCTGGTGATATAGTTGCGTATCGTCGGGCTGGTTCGGCGTCACCTCTACGAGCCAGAATTCCACGAGCTTGGGAACACCTGGGACGTCCTTCATCGCTTCCAGCATGTCCACTTCATTCATAACAATATCCATCTTTTCTTGCACGTCCACTTTGCCATTCCTGCTATTCTTCACCCAGTGATCCTTGATGATGTACTCTTTGCCATCCCTCCTGGCCAAGTAACACATGGTTCCGCGACCTACAAGTCCTTGACCAGAGAAGAGGACCTTCAATAAATCATATTTGTGCTCGTTGACTTTCATCTTTCCTATCACAATATCACTGGATGATGATGAGAGTAACGGTGACCCATTGTCGTCGTGCGGCAGCTTGGTAGAAGCAGGAGATTTGAGATATTCAATGTATGGGTCCATAGAATGTGGTTCATGTTGCACGTGAGACTCAGAGCGGATTTTGTTGCTGAAGACTTTTTTCTTTCGCCAAGAAAGATTCATCACTTTCCGGTCCCACAATGCTGCAGACAGAGATTGCGTTAGGTTAACGGACATTGTGGAATTGAATCCTATGCAGTCATGAGTGCCGTAAACGATGCACGCCATGATATATCTGAATTTGTCAGGTTCTTGATGTATGTCAACCGGTCAGGTCACAATCCCACCCGAGTGGTCATATATGTGTACCCTAAGTTCGCGGTACTCCTTGCAAAAGGAGAGACAGAGCACGAAGCGCCTCCATGGCTGTTCTCTGAAGATGAGCCATGCTTTCGTATCAAGCGTCCTTCTGGCATGCTCCTCAGGAGAATAATGGCTAGAGGTCAGCTCAGCAACAACAAGTATGTTCCTCCACTGCAGTTCCACCTCATTTAATAAGCAGAGATCGGGCTTGCACTGAATAACATCATCTCTGATGGGTTTGGTAGCATGCAAACCATACCATAGCGGTGGGAGAGTGCATGCCAAGAAGGATTTGGCAAGTGCTTTGTTGAGGGAGTTAAGGAATAATGGGAATGTCTTCTCGATACTCTGACCTTGCACAGGAAGTGCTAAAGGCCATGCTTTTGTTGTAGAGTCATAGAGTAGTGATGTGTCTGTATGTCTAAGGGTGTCTGCAGCAGGTAAATGAGTTTTAAAGGACTGGAAGATAAAGGACAACAAGTGCCCTATATCATTGCCAGAGTCTGATTCGTTCTGGGATTCATGAGTGATCAAACGATTGAGTTCGGAAGTTGTCAGTTTGTCCATAGAGGAGACATCTGTGTAATCCCTAGAGGGGCCTACTGGCAGTGATGCAAGTTTTAATCCGCTGTCGACAGATCAATAATGCGTCACGGGTAGTAATTAACTCGAACCATCCGATGACTACAATATTAATCACCAAACCAGAAGTGTGACTAGTTGTGACCCAGTGTGACCCGATGCCACCCGAATAGAATAAGAGAATGCGACTCAGGATAAGTTAAATATTGTATATGTTATATTCTGTTATATTCTGTAGATGCTGAATATGAGAACGTGACTCAGGCAAATTCAACATTGACTAAAGTTCCTCCTGCTCTTGCCCACGGCCATCCCTACTTCTGCCTAGCACGCGTGATTCTCGCATGAGCTCCTCTGAGCAGCAAATCGCGAGATTGATCATATAATTGGAGCAGCAACCTTTGCGAAAGGCAGCGATGACGCCTTGTTGTCACTGCGGATCAGAACGTCGGCATTAGATATGCCTTTGGCATGAATTAGCCGAATGGCGAGTTCAATGGCCGTGGCCTCAAGCCAACCTATGTCCCGAGAAGGGCCCCGCCAGTCTTCGACTGTGTGCCAGAAGGCCCAACGTCCATTCCATAAGAGACCGATACCAGTTCCTGTTGAGGCGTCCACCCAGATGTTATAGTCTCTGGTGGGAGGAGGAGGGGATAGGTCGCGAGGGACCAGATTCGCTGTGAGAGTAGCGAGCCACCATTTGAGATCGGTTTTGGTGGAATGGCTGAGGTATCTAGGGGAGAGCTCGCTCGTCTCGTTCGAGCCATAAGCGGCGATGTCTGCATAGAGATTAGAAAGGTATGAACGACTGTGAGGATATGGGAAGGTAGAGTGATTGAGAAAGCCCGCGATGTGTTCAAGTTCTCGTTTTGGAGCTTGTCTGTCCAAGTATAGAGCAAGGAACTCGGCTAAACGAGCAATGTATTTGAGACGCTTAGACTCGAGAAGGAGAATGGTTTTGTGCAGCAAGTCCCAGTCAAAACCAATGTATTCCCCAGTATCCTCGAATGATTGTCCTTTTGACTTGTGCCATGGGACCTTGGCCGGAGAAACGAGAGATTTGGCGTGTTCTAGGTCATAGTCATATCTATAGACTTCGCCATTGGAAATGCCCAGGTAGAGTCCATGCGCAGATGGAAAGCGGAAGAGGCTGACATCATCTACCCATTTTTTGGATGGTTTGACGTCGAGGACATGCCAAATATGGACTGTCGCATCGGCAACCTCGCCCTGTAAACCTGCGGCTGAAGCTAAGCCAAAGGGAATATTGTGATCTATGTAGAGTTTACCATCATGGTAAATGATTAGGTAGCATTTGTGATCGGGAGCACATGGAATGCCTTGGTAAGCAGCCTCAATGTCCAGGGTAGCAAGTTGCGCCCCGGGCGGAGCATGACGAACCTAGATAGAGAGAAAAGCGTGAGAAGACACTATACGAGGATGATGAATTGATGCATTATATGATGCAGGATGTGTACCAGAAAGGTTCGTGCCTTCAAACAATAAGTTGCGAGTGTAAAAGACTAACGCAAACTCATCACACAGTGCGTCCGAAACGAGATATGTACAGGATGGAAGGAGGATAATGTATGATGTCTGCAAATTCGGACGCTGTGCCCCATTCAGTAGGATACTCCTCTGCATCTATTTCATCATTAACAGAGTGACTCATCGAGCCTGCATATGATAGATGGCGACAGACACGATACTTGTCTGGAGCACCATCTAGGCCCATTTTGACCACGGCTTGAAGCGGAGACGAATGGAAATGACCAATCTTGGCGTAAAGCTCGTTGTGGGAGAAAGGACCAGAATAATAGGCCCTTTGCAAGTTCCTCTGTGACGTACTCGTCACAGACTTCCTTGAAGGCTTCAGCGCCAGGTAGGTTATTGGGCGTATAAGAGGTAGTGAGGGGAGAGAGGTTATGACCTATGGGGAAGCTGTTAGTCAGTTTGTAACTTAGTTCTGGGAATTGATGCGTGAGATTCGTGCGTGAAAGGAGAGTGTCAAAACTATCAGCCAAATATGGCGTGATGATGTGAGAGTAGTCAGGGTCTTGGTCATAAGGCGAGGGAACATGCTGCAAGTTATCAAAGTATATGTATCGTGGAGGCGGTTGCAATGCAAGAGAGGAATCTATGGTGCAGAACAAGAAGTGATCCTCATTGGTGGGATCCAAGAAAGAGATCTCGGCCGTCGAATCAGAGACAGACGTGTGAGAGAGCACTGTGCTCTGTGCGTCCGCAGAAGGAGCAGATATGCTGCTCGGAATGATCTCATTTGCAGGGTCATCGAGGGTTGTTGAGATTATAAGTGACACAGAGCTGTGAGCCCTTAGAATGTTTGCACAGGTTGCCAGAGAGGTACTTCGAGAAAGTTTGTGCTCCTTTCTGCGACGTCTCTTCAGAGCAGTCGGAGAAATGATGGCCCATACGTCCGCAGATGATGCACATAGGGTCAGAAGACTTGGATTTGCCATCATGAAAGGACGGGTTGTCACCCTCAGTGTGCTTCTTGGGCAAGCGTTTAGCATCCCTATCATATGGCTCAAAGCGTGAAGAGGAAGCATGTGCGTTACAATCAGGAGCAGAAGAACGTGGGAGTTGCTCCTGGGCACGGAACATGAACTCCTGCATCGTGTTGTATTTTTTCTTGGTGAGACAATGATTCCATTCTGTTTGACAGTGTTGGTGGGGTCGAAGAGTGTAGTTCTGATGGGTCTCAACATCGAATTCAACGATGGCCTGAAAATTCTTTCTAATGGCCTTGTCCTTGGAGAGTGTGGTGAAGTGAGTCGTCCAGCGTTTAAGGGAAACTGCATCACCAATCTCTTCAATCCATGTGAGGTAGCGTTGATATGCTTCCTGCCAGGACAACGGGTCAAGGTCAAGCTCGCTGTCGAACTGAGAGAGATCTAAAAGGTGGTGAGAGATGCCGCCAACGTGTACCTTTGACCGTTTGAGTGTGTCCTTCACGATGTAAACATTCCATGTTCTGATTGGTGAAGAGGGTAAGAGGACAGTATTGTCCAGCACTGTATAAGTCATTGACGAAGCTGTGAATGCTGAAGTTGTAAGTTGAATCTGAAGCAGAGCCTGCAGGAAGTTCTTTTGAAGAGTCAAAAAGAACTTTTGAGACGGAGGCGACGTTAGGTCTAAGCGTTGATTTAGGCATGATTGTATCCAGTACGGCTGAGCCCTGAGCTTGAGAGGTGGGTGAGAGTTGATTAAAGGCTGAGATCCATTGTTGTACAGTATAAGACCAGTCCTTTGCCTACCCCCACTCCTTTACCCACCTCAGGCAAAATTCATTATTTCTTCATTTTTTCACATCAACATATAGGAAGATATTAAAGATGAGGCCTCAACGGACATTTATATAGTATACGATAAAGAATTGATGTTCACAATGTTGTGCATGACACAAATTGGTTGATTTTTCCTTCCTGAGTGAATTTTGTTGGGAGCCATAGTACATCAGTGATTTTTTTTTGAGAAAAAGTGGCTGGTAGAATACAAAGTATATACTTCAAACATCATTTTCACCTGCAACGGATTTGTGGATACTGTTAGCTAGTCAATTCCTACTCTTGATCTATCTGTTATCTTGACCACCTTCGACACCATACATCGTAGACGCTTCTCAGAACCATGTACCGCATGACACTTCCGCACATCAATTCTCCGGCTTGACTTAGCTAATCATTCCGCTACGTACATAGTCTTCTCGCTCTCGTACGAGCTTCCTCAGTATTGTTCCCTAACACTACTGAGGTATGCATCATTGTTATGTCTCACACTTATCTTGTACTGATGTACCTTAGCTCGTTCTCATCTCGCTAGGTACTACCAATTTAGTATTGTTCCCTAACACTACTGAGCTCGTTCTCGTCTCACTAGTCTAACTAGTGAATAGATACCTCCTTTGTTCCTTCTGCAGAGTACATAGATTGAACATGGGAGGTCTTATCTTGGCGAGCTTGTCACACATGGCTGTCACGCTGTTCAGCTTCCGATAACATCATCAATTTTCATTGCCTTTTTGAATTACAAATCCACGGTGTTGCATGATGTGACATCTAAATCGAGGTGGGCAAAGGACTGGTGAAGTCAAAGATAACGCTGTTTTCAATGATCTTGCTACAACACACCAACGTCGTTGTCAATAGCTCTCAAAAAAATTTGGCAGTATTTACATGTACATTGGAATATTACTGTCTACTACGATTTTTGAAAAAACGAGCTATTATGAAGTGGGATGCATTTCAAAATGTGGTGGGCAAAGGACCAGTCCTATACTGTATTGCAGTTCCCGTCGGTTTGGGAGGAATGGGGATAAGTAACTCGTCTGCAGGGACGTTGAGATCGCCGGCGTCTCTGCGCACTTGAAGAGAGAGATTATGAGTATGACGGCGTAAGTTCTCGGCTATCATCTGGTCATGAGTCATTTGTGGACCCGAGGGGATAGCCGAAACTGTGGCGTTAGTAGCAGGAGTAGAGGAAGGATTGCCTGTTGTAGTCGCTGGAGGAATTGCCGAAGCGGAGGCAGTGGTAGAAGTCGTATTGGAAGTCATGATGAGAGTATTAGTCGAAGATTTTCAGGATCGTTGTTGGAGAGTGCGAAAAAATGGGAGAGCGACAGGCAAAAGGAGATGGGCGCAGAGAAGAAGAAGGGAGTGAGGCGCCGATTCTCAAGTCGAGTCCTTTTGACTGGGGTAAGATAGATGTGTGCTTCAATAACATAGAAGCACAAGTGTGGACGATCTACATGCGACCGCTTACAAAGGCCCGGTTTCACGTGTCAACGCTCGCAAGCTTGCGATCCACTCGAAACGACCAACTTACCTGTGATGTCTGTGTCACTGTACGTCACTGTGCAGTGTCACACATCCTATCAGGGTTTTACTGATGAGATGACCAGTTTGCAGGATGAGCTATAAGGTATCAGCGTCATAGTAAAAAGAATGTTGTGAGGTGCGTGCATA